ATTGCTGAAAAAGGAAGAAAACATTTAGGTTTTCCTGTTAGAATATGTGTGTGTTCATGTGCATGCTAGTTTAGTCTCATAAGTGGATGCCCAGAGGAAAGTAATTTTTTCCCCAGTGGGGACAAAGTTTGTGTTGATGTTGCTTTAGCACATATATTTTTTGTATTATCAATGATTCAAGAAAACAACGAAACTCCAAATGTGAATCAACAAGTATATATTGAAATAACATACAAGAACAAAATATACAATAATTTGTATTCAATGTATAGATTAAGTGAAAAGAAGTTACTTCCCTTTTACCATGTTTTCATTTGTAATTGATTGTTCGAAAGAAAGTTCTCTTGAGAGAGAAATGTTCAGGAATCAATGTTAGAACAAGCCTGCTGTTGGAATAAATAACACAAGAATACAATTGATCAGAAAGTGTGTTGTGTTAGAGAAATCAACAGAGTCCTGGTTGATTGAACTTGGCTGAGTCACAGAGAGATATGTATATAAGTATTACAAAATTCTGTGTCTGGGTGTGCATTTGAAATGTTGTGAGTAAAGTCTTAGATTTGTGTTGACAGGTTAAATTTAGTGGACTCTACTGGCGGCTTGTGAAAAAGTCACCTCTTTTAAAGCCTACAGATAGGCTCCCAGGAAAAGTTGATTTTGCACTAAAATATGTGATTGGTTAAAATTTGACCAATCGCTAAATTTGTACTAACGAAACAAGTAAGCAAGTTCAAAACCAAAAAATTCAAAGCAATGACTGCAATGGCTAAATTGTTCTATAGAAAGACAGTATTGATTTATTAGCCAATCGCAGATGAATAAAATGTGGGCGTGGAAAAGCACAGCAGTCGCTACATTAGTTCAGTCTCATAAGTGGATTCACAGGGGAAAGTAATTTTTTCCCCAGTGGGGACAAAGTTTGTGTTGATGTTACTACATTACAGAATGAAGAGAATAAAAGTGAGAGTGAGGGTCTATTGTCCTGTCCTTAAGTTTTGAAAGAGCAACTTCTATTGGGCATCTTGGCAGTAATCCCTACAAAACTTTTTGGCATCTTGTTGGTACTGCAAACAATGAGTGTTGCATGGAGTAAAATAAATGATAGTCAGAGAGTGATATGTTTGGAAAATAAATTGTATGAGAAAGAAGAAGAGATAGATATATAGATACCTTTTTAGTCTGCGCTCTCATTAATACACATCAGACTAGTAATTCTCACTGCCTTCAAAAAGACACTCATCTTTGAAAAAAATTGCAGAACACAGTGCAGCCAGCTTGTTGGTAAAGAAAGGAAGAAAAATGATTAAAAAAAAACACAGAAAATATGTAAACTGAAACTACATTGACAAACAAAATTTAAGATTATCTAGACATAAAAGATTTTATGAAGTGACATTCAAGGGAGATAATTTGAAGTAGTTTCTGAAGTTTTTGGAATGCTGGGCATCCATGGGTTTCAGTTAGAAATCTAATCTATAAGTAACAATGGAGTTTTTTTTTTTTTTTTTTTTTTAAAGAAACCAATAATTAATACCAATTTTTTATTTTAGAAACTAATAACAGATTTTTAGAAATTAATAACAGATTTTTTAAAAGAAATCTATATTACCAAATTAAAAAAAACTATAATTCCAGATTTTTATACAAAAATAATACCAGGATTTATAAAAAGAGGAATTTGTTTTAAAAAGGAATCTATAATACCAGATTATTTTAAAGAAATATATATGAGATTTTTTTTAAAGATATCTATTATACCAAATGTTTTAAAGAAATCTATAACAGATTTAAAGAAAATTATCAGGTCATCCCATAAGTTCTGTCCAAATTTTAATTTTTTGTTAAAATGAACGAAATTTAAAGAGTATTTTATAATGTCTAATGTAGCTGAACATTATTTTTATGTTTAAATGCATTTAAACAGATCAAATTTTATTTCAGAGAACAATAAAATTAAACTTTCTTTGATTAAAACCCTGCTAACATGGAAGTACCCAAGAATCATTTGAGTCACATAATGCTTTATGAGTTAAAGAAATGAAACTCAGCAGCTGAAGTAGCTAGAAACATTCACTCAGTTTATGGATAGGAATGTGTGAATGAAGAACTTGCAGAAGATGGTTTGCAAAATTCAGAGGTGGAGATTTCACCCTTGAAGATGAAGATCGAACTGGACATCCAGTTGAGTTTGATGAAAAGCTTCTTGAAGCAGCCCTTGAAGAAAATCCTGCTTTATCAGTTGAGGAATTGGCAGTGGTTCTCAGTTCAAACCATACAACTGTTCATCGTCATCTTCAACAACTTGGAAAAGTTCCTAAACTTGGAAAATGGGTGCCTCATGAATTGTCAGAAAACAACCTCAAATCCCGATTTGACATTAGCTCTTCTCTCCATTCTTGCCAACTTGTTTCACCTTTTTTGGATAGACTTGTGACTGGCGACAAAAATTGGATCTTTTATTGAAATGTTAAGCATTGTAGACAGTGGCTTGGTAAAGGGAAAGGACCCCAGTCACAGCCGAGAAGGGAACTTAATGGGCAAAAGGTTCTTCTTTCAATCTGGTGGGATCACCAAGAAATAATCCCCTTTGAATTCTTACCACCTAATGCAACAATTAATGCTCAAATATACTGTCAGCAATTAGAGCATTTGAATCAAGCTTTGAGGGAAAAAAGACCTGCTTTAGTGAATCGAAAAGGTGATGTTTCAGCAAGAATCATGTCACAAAAGATCGAAGGAATTGGTTGGGAGAAAATTCCTCATTTACCTTATTCTCCCGATCTTGCTCCTTCAGACTACCATTTGTTTTGTAGCTTACAGAATCATTTGGAAGAAACAGCTTTTGTAACACAGAAAGAGGTTAAAATGACATTTGTGAGTTCTTCGAATCAAAGCCAAAAGAATTTTACAGTAATGGAATTAGTAAGCTTGTTAATAGATGGAAGGAAGTCATAGATAATCAGGGAAAATACATAGTTGATTGAATCTGTAATTAAATGTAACATTTGGTCACTTGTTTTCTTTATTCAAAATTTGGACAGAACTTATGGGATGATCTGATATAATACCAGATTTTTTAAAAAGAAATCTATACCAGATTTTTTAAAAGGAATCTACTATAAGATTTTTAGAAAAAATATAAAATACCAGATTTTTTAAAGAAATGTATTATACCAGATTTTTAAAAAAATCTCTACCTGTTCTTTTAAAAAAATCTATAATACCAAAATTATTTAAAAGAAATCTATATCAGATTTATTTATAAAATCTATAATACCATATGTTTAAAAAAATCTATAATACTGATTTTTAAAAAAATTCTATAATACCAAATTTTTTAAACAAATCTATAATATCATGTTTTAAAGAAACCTATAACAGATTTTTAAAGAAAACTATAACGGATTTTTAAAAGAAATCTTTAATACCAGATTTTTTAAAGAAATTTGTACAAGAATTTTTTAAAGATACCTATAATTAAAACAGGATTTTTTAAAATGTGTTTTCCTGCCACATAAGGCTTACAGCCATATCATGTTTAAACATTGTTTCTTGTATGATCATCGAAGTTAAGCAATGTCAAGCCTGGTCAGTACCTAGATGGGTGATAGCTTGGGTATGCTAGGGGCTGTAAGCAGTTGGTGTAATGGATAACAGCTCAGGAGTGGAAATTGTAAAGCCAAGTTCCAATTCCCGTCAGATTTGTTATATCCCTTTATGTGCAAATTTCCTTGGACAAGGTATGAAGCCACCTATTTTCCCCCATCTATGGGTGTAGTGGCCTGTTTGAGGCCAGAAAGAAATACACAGGAGACGAAGTTAGGTTGAACAAATGTATTGAAATAACAGATATATACAAAGCAAAAGTGTTAGTAACAAGCAGAAGAGGTGTACATCCGAACGGTAGGTTAACACTGCATCTCAACTGCTCTACGACTCTACACTAAGAAGTCTCACAGTTAGTATTTATGAGAGGAGGAAGAGTTCATTCCAATGTAGGAGGAATTACCACAACAATGAGTTAATTAGTAAAATATATGATTATTATTTCCTCCCAAATTCTTATAATATAAAAATATTTTCTGGCTTTAAATGACCTGCAATCATGCCACAAAATCATTGATTAAATTTTTTTTAAAAAAAATGTCTTTGCTGTGGCAGTGGATTGTTTAAATGAGTTGACAACTTCATCTGTAATTTTTCCCTCATCAACACACAGGCATGTACAAGAAGAAAGAAAGAAACAAATAAATAAATAAAATCTAAAAATAATATTTTTTTATTTAATTCCTTTGTTATTTTCCTCTAAAATTTTACTTTTTGTTATTCCTTTATCATTTGTATTTCTCCCCTCATACTTTTTAAAAAATAATTTCACACAGAGAAAGGCGATAAATCCCCTATGACGCAAGGAGTTACTGAGTGTGAGAGTATGAGTAAAAGAAAACATTAAGGAGAGAGATCAATAAAAGAACAGGAATTAAGAAGACAGAAGATAATGATTGAATACTGGACGTTTGCTTGAATAATAATAATAATAATGATGGGAAAAATTACTCAACAAACAATACAAGTAATAATAAAGATATTTAAAATAAATGAATTTATACTTTTTATTGAATTGCTTTGCTTGGTATCATTGATGCGTTAGAGATGAGAGCTGTAGTAAGGGCATTGATATTTGGTTGGAAATTGGCGAGTTTGAAAGTCACTACGGTTTATTTATTAACCTCTTTTTGACTCCCAGTCATTTATCGACTCCCCCCACCCCCAGTTCACTCCCCAAGCATTTATCTACAGCGTTAGTCCCATCGACTTTCCAAGAGTCGATAGCAACCAGCTTGAAGACTTGGTTTATTTCAAAATTTAAATGATTACGTAAAAACAGTTAACGGGAGGTAACTCTTTGTGTCGCTTTTCTCCTGACTCTTGAGTATTAAAAAAAAATGTCCGTAATCATGGTTTTTCCTTACTTTCTCATGTTTTGTTAATCTGCCTTCATGCTTGGGCGGTACCTGTCACGTGCAAGGCACAGATGTACGCCAACAAATACTTTTTTTCGGAGCGGAGACAATTACGGAACTAAATCTGCAATATTTCTCGAACCTCACCGACGATATATAGACGAAAGAGAGGACCCTCCTTTTGCGTTAAGAAGACCTGCGTCGAGAAACAACGATCGAACTGTTGCCTCGCCTTTCTATACACTCGTGTCCTGTCTTTGCACAAGGATCGGGCATAGAAAATCCAAAATGAAGAAGTTGAAATTCGATAACCAAAGCCTTCGTTCATTACCGGTGGATACTTCACTTGATATGAAATCGCAACGTAGTGTACCAGGTGCTTGTTTTTCTCGAACCTTGCCCACCCCAGTGATTAATCCCCAAATGGTGGCAATGTCCCCTAGTGCCATGTCCTTGCTTGATTTGTCACCTGCCGATATGGAAACTGAAGAAGCTGTTCAGTACTTTTCAGGAAATAAAATTATGGAAGGCTCAGAACCAGCTGCTCATTGCTACTGTGGCTATCAATTCGGAGTATTTGCAGGTCAACTCGGGGACGGAGCTGCAATGTAAGTACAAAAAAGTAGATAAATAAAATAAAATATTTAAAAAAGAAAAAAAAAGAGATCATGTTTAATTAAATTAAAATCCTTATTATGTAAAAGCCAGTAAGTTTAAAAATGTAACCTTAACCAACACTGCGTTTTCAAGTTTTGTTTTTTCTTATTTGAAAAAAAAAGAAAAGAAAAAGTTATGTAACTTTTTTTAATCAGTAATTTTCGTCATTTTGAAAAGGGTAAATTTTAATTCATATAAAAATGTTTCTATTTAAAAGTAGTAAACTTTCTAATTTCTATACTGTAATTTTTAAAAATAGAACCTATTGTTTTTAATGTTAAACAAAAAAAGGAAACATTTTCAAAATTCTTGTGGTAACGTAAATATCTCATTCATGAAACCCGAGGTTTGAATGCTTTCCAAAAGTTGTTACGTAAGCTAAAAAAAAAAAAACTTAACCTGAGTGATTCTTGCTGTCAGCTAAGAAATTGGTTAAAAAAAATTAATCCTAAAAATACAAGACAGAGTTATGATATTTATTGTGGTGTGTAGGGGGGGTGTCGTATAATTTTCATTTTTCAATTAGGCAATAAGTGACATGAAAAATGATTTGAAAGCAAAGTTAGTTGAGGAACAAAATTTAAAAAATATGACTAATAATCACTAATCCAAGTAAGTTGCTCCGAATAAATACGATTATTGTCGGAAAAGATATTGCATAACTTTTGGAAAGAGAACATTGAAATTTAAATTGTTTTGAGTCAGAGTACACTAAAATCTAACTAAATAAACGATTTAGTGTGAATTCCTAACAAAAACAATAACGAAAATCAAACTTTTCTGTTGCTGAACGGGAAGACAATAAGTCTGTAGGTCCTACAGTCTTATTGTCTTACCGTTGAGCAACAGAAAAGTTTTTTGTTTTTTTTAACAATGTGATTTTCTTTGTAGTATCTGTTGGGACAGTCTTCTTAATCTTCAATATTTATTTAAAAATGTAACTTCGTTTACGAGTCACTGACGGCGAATGGCTGTAGTGTAAAATAGAAAAAAAATGTGTAAGTAAGAAAGAATGAAAATTCTAAAATAAATTTAAAAATAAAATGTAGTTTTATTTAATTTTTAAAAAAATGCATTTAAATTTGTTTGCTTTTATTTTTCTTAAATCTAAATCGTGAAAAATAAAAAACGAAACACGTACGTTGTGAATAATAGTCATTTTAATTATTTTAAAAAAATTTACTTTGGTCCCTCTCGGGTACAGCAAAAATAAAATTGTCTGGCCTTACACACACACACACACACACACACACACACACACTATCTCTCTCTAACTTTAAAAAAAAAAAGGTAGGGCTGATACAGGAATAGGATTTGTTGTGTAACTTAATCCAGCATAAGGTCCATGGGTGTCACAGGTTTCTGAACTACTACAAACGTGATATCTGTCCTCCTTTATGGCAGCGAATGCTGGGCGGTCTTCTCAAACATGAAGAGACTCGAGGTAACGGAGGTATGATTCTACAGAAGGATGCTCAGGATATCATGGACCAAACATGAAAGTAATGATGAGGTTTAGGAGAGGATGCAAACAAGGAGGAAGCTTATACTTAATTAACCTCAGGAAGAGGCAGCTGACATTTCTGGGACACTTAATGAGAAAGGAGGGTTTGATGAATCTGATACTCCCAGGGCAGATAGAAGGAAAGAGATTTAAGGCAGAGCAACGCGTTACATACCTAACGGGCTTAAGCAAGTGGATGACGGAACAGGGTTTGGAAGAAGTAGCAAAAGGATAATACATATTGAGAGCTACAAGGGATAGGGAGAAGTGGAGAGCTATGATCACCTACGTCCTGTTTAGCAGTGGGTTTCTGGTTCCTTCTAAAGTACTTCAATTCAATGCTCCTAACGCTCCCGCCTGAAATCAGATTTTATATGCTAATTAAATCTTGACCTCATCAAGTCTAGAGTTAGCTGTCTATCTTTCCCTTTCTTATGCTAATGCAACTCCACACAGTAATCCTTTACCTTGAGTGACACTTGGGCCTTATATTGGTTGAATATTAGTAAAAATAAATTTTAAAAAAATGTCTCTCTCCAAAATTTTATAGAAAAGAATTTGGCAAAGTTTAACACACATTAAAAATGATTGTAAATCCAGTTTCATATTTTTGAGTTTTATTTGAATTTTAAAAATAATTTTTTAAAACAATAAAAATTGCTGAGGGAATATATATTTGAGTAATAACAGTATCAGGAGAAAAACAGCCCTTTTTCTGGGTATGATTGTTAAACTTTATCAATTTTTTTTTTCTACAAACATTTTGAAGAGTAACTGCTTAAAAAATTTTCTTTTACATAAATGCATTATTAAAAGGTAATAATAATGAATTTTGGAAGATTTTTAAATCTTACAAGATTAGTGAAAATGATAAACTAACTTTACTGCTAAAATATTTATATTCACAATCAGTAGTGTACAGAAGGTGGGGCAGAGGGTATAACAACCTCAGGCATCCATATTGGGAGGGTATCCAATCAAAGTATGAAATAAAAATTTAGTTTATATTTAATTTGGATAAAGTGTTTATTTCATGTTTCATCTGTTTTTACATAGTGGAAATGTCTTCCTTTTACACATTTCTCAATACTAGACTCTATATGTCCCCCTACTTGAGACTTAAAGGCATACAATCAAAGAGTGATTTTTATAAAGGAAACTATAATACCAGATTTTTTTTAAAATCTACAATTTCCTGTTTTTTTATAAAAGAAATCTATAGTTTCCTGTTTTTTTAAAAAAAGAAATCTATAATTTCCTGTTTTTTTAAAAAAAGAAATCTATAATTTCCTTTTTTTTAAAAAAAGAAATCTATAATTTCCTATTTTTTTTAAAAAGAAATCTATAATTGTCCTTTTTTTTTTAAAAAGAAATCTATAATTGTCCTTTTTTTTTTAAAAAGAAATCTATAATTGTCCTTTTTTTTAATAAGAAATCTATAATTGTCCTTTTTTTTTAATAAGAAATCTATAATTGTCCTTTTTTTTTAATAAGAAATCTATAATTGTCCTTTTTTTTAATAAGAAATCTATAATTGTCCTTTTTTTTTAATAAGAAATCTATAATTGTCCTTTTTTTTTAATAAGAAATCTATAATTGTCCGTTTTTTTTAATAAGAAATCTATAATTGTCCGTTTTTTTTTTAATAAGAAATCTATAATTGTCCTTTTTTTTTAATAAGAAATCTATAATTGTCCGTTTTTTTTTTAATAAGAAATCTATAATTGTCCGTTTTTTTTTTTTAATAAGAAATCTATAATTGTCCGTTTTTTTTTTTAATAAGAAATCTATAATTGTCCGTTTTTTTTTTTTAATAAGAAATCTATAATTGTCCGTTTTTTTTTAATAAGAAATCTATAATTGTCCTGATTTTTTTAAAAAAGAAATCTATAATTTCCCCATTTTCTTTATCAAAGAAATCTATAATTTCCTGATTTTTTTTATTTTTTTTTTTTATTTAAGAAATCACCAACTAAACATCACCCTGTCACTGTTCAGAATAGTTTGGTTTGTTTTACAGCATATCATCCTCAATGGGTTATTTAGTGCCGACAAGATTTTTTTTATTGCTGGTAATATTTTTTTTCTTCAAAAATGTATAGCTGGTGATAATTTTTTACAAAAATATATTGCTTGTATTACAACCTATTTTTACACTTTCATAGTGTTTTGACCTCAGTTTGGGGGTTCACTATTTGCTCATAGCTGGGACCCTAACAGGTACTACCACCCTGGGTCAGAGAGAACCTGGGAACACCAGCAATTAAGAGGTGGTTCCATGCTCCTCAAAAACTCCTGATAAGAGGCCTTGCTGTTGAATGTAGTTTATCGTCTTACCAGGATGCCTCTTGGGTGGGGTGGGGTGTCTGCCGAGGTGCAGTCAGCGTATTCTGAAGCCCCAGCCAACAGGGTGAAGAATAGGTTGATAGTTTTAACTAACACAGAATTAACATAGCATCATCATCATGAGTTCTCTATTCCATTAGGGCCTTGAAGGTGCCTTGGGTGTGTTTAGGGATAAAATAGCCTGGTTGAGTCCCTTTTCAGACCTGTTTTGGATTCAGAATTGAGACATGTTACCCTACAAAGGTTAAAGGATCCAGTCATACAATTTTACTTATGTGGGTTTTAATTCTGTTTTGTTTTTCTTTGATTGGCTACTGTCCTGCTTTTTAATCCATACCTGGTAGCAAATGGATTCATACCCTTTTCTAAGTGCATTAGCACTGTGGGGATTACAACACCCACCTTGTTTGCCAAGATACCATTTCAGTGACAATGTTCAGGACAATAAAAAGAAGAGACCACAAACTCTCTTTGTCTCTTTTTTGCTTTGGTATGCAGTAGCAAAAGTTACTCAGATGAACTACATTCTTTGGTTCTGTTAAGTCTAACCTTTATGGCTAAGACCCACGATGCCACTTACATTGTAACAAAAGTCTAATATTCCCTCCAATATTCCATTGGTGAGAAGTTTTACTTGAACAGCATCTTCCTGTGGAACCACTTCTCTGTGGAACAGACTCCCAAGAGGATGTTTCCCTGATCACTACAATTTTGACCTGTTCAAGTCTATTGTTAACCATTATCTTTTCCTCCTATTCATATAAACTACTCCTTAATGTAATCCTCTACTTTGAGTCATCCCCAGGTCTTGTACTTACTGTAAAAAAAAACAAAAGAAAAAAAAAACTTTTCTCTCCACGAGGGAAGATTTCTTTCTCCTCCAGTAGGCTGTCTTCTTAATTTTAGCCAGCCACGTGGTGCATCACACACACACACACACACACACACACTTTCTAATAGCAAAGCCTATGACTATTTTTCTCCTTTTTTGCTGTTATGTCTACACACAATTATATTTTCTCTTTTTGAATTGTTGTTCTTATCAAAAATATATATACAAAATTACTCAGTGTTGAAATTCATTCCTTTTGAAAATGTTGA